AAGCACACATGGCCCCCAGCCCACACCCCTGCCCCTGTCTCTTATACACATCTAGATGTGTATAAGAGACAGGACTTTTGCCCGTGCACAATTAACACAAGACGAGCAACAGCAAAAAATAGATTTAAGAAAAAAAAAARAAAAAAAAAACGARAAAAAAAAAGCTGACAAAACAAAAAAAAAAGAAGGTGAGAGTAAAAAACATTAATTACTCTCCGAGTCCTACGGCCCTCATCCCCCGCGCAATTGCGGCCATTCCACTGTCCCATCTGGAGCCTCATTCACGAACCACAGGCTGTTATTCTGCAGACCTGCTCTCTTCTCAGTCAGTCCAAGAAGGTAATTAGCATGATAGACTAAAGGATCACCTCCACCATACCTTATCCACTTTGATCTCTCCTCAGGAAATTTGATGGTGTGCCCAGATGGGAAAACTTTGCTTGGAAGTACTCGGAATCTGAAACGGAGCTGCTCCTCTGCACCTCCTTCTCCTCCTTCTCCTCCTTCTCCTCTCTTCTGCTTCTTCTTCTTCATCTTCTTCTCCTCGAAAAACGATCGAAAATCCTCCAGAACGTCGTTAAATGGTGGCTGATTCTGGCGGGCCGGTCCCGACGACGATCCATTAGTGGGCCACATTCGACGTATCCATTGCCGCATGAGATGCATGGAGAGTCGAGTTGGTCTGTAAAACATAAAATAAGTACAGATGTTTATGTCCTTCCACCACGAAGCAAGCGGAAGGCAATCAAATCCATTAAACATCTCATCCCGCAGAGGCCCATCCCACGCACCAGCGGCATCCATATCTCCCTCACACTCTCCTCCCCCTCTTTCTCTCTCTCCCAATGCTTCTCTACCACCTCCTCTTCCTCCTCCTCCTCCTCCTCCTGCTGCTGCTCTCAACGACCTTGCTACCGAAGAATGAATTGATTCCCCGCTTTCTCTAACTATACTCCCACCTCCTCCTCCTTCCTCTCTTCTCGTAGTACCTCTCCCTTCCCCCATCTCTCCCTCTCCGTCTCCTCCTCCCTCTCCTCCTCCTCCTTCCTCTCTTGTTCTAGTACCTCTCCCTTCCCCCATCTCTCCCTCTCCGTCTCCTCCGCCCACTCCTCCTCCTCCTGTTTGTCCCGTTATGAACGGGATCGGGTTCTTCATGAACACCGTGTCGACATCTGTGTACAGCACGGAGTAGCCATGCCGGAGGCAGGCAAGGATGTTGAATGGCCTCCCCCTCACAACTTTACCGTACCCCTCCGAGTTCCAATACTGCACTCCCAGCTCCCTCGGGATGTCCCGCGATCCCGTAGTCCTACTGCTGGTACCCTCGGCGCTGCGCGCCGCCGCCGCACCAGCAGGCGAATCGGATGTCGGGATCCCGCTCGGCGCGCTGCGGCACAACAGCACCGCGTGACCTGGCCAGTGATTCTCTAGGAATGTCCAAGAAACAACATCCTCGGCGAACACCAGCACGTTCTCCGACATCCCGATCTTATCCACAGAGATCAACCAATTAACGAAAAGCGCGCGAAATCCCCAATTCATCGTGCAAATCACGATAGTATTGTTTACCGCCAGTCGATCAAGAAAGGGCTTCAGAGCGTAGGGGGTGGTACACCCCTCTACCGCCACTTTCTCCTCTTCCCGCCAATTCTCATCTAGAATAGGTGTGAGGGAGGCATTCTCCCCCCCAGGCCCCAGGAGCAGCTGTGTGTGGTGGTGGGGACCACCACTCTCCCCACTCTCCTTGCTCTCCCTACCCTCCACCTTCGAGGGCGATTGCCCGGTCACGCTAGCGGAGGCGGCGGCGGGACGAGTGGCGAGCGGGATTCTCTCCACCTGGCCATGATCGTTGGCAAGGTTCTCGATGCCTGAACTAAGGGAAGAATCCGACGTGGTGGGGACCACCTTCCTCCCCCCGCCCTGTGCTGCTGTCGCGACACGTGGCAAGGATGCATCCCCGTAGTTCGACGCCTTCACCGTCAGCAACCTCTCCCAATTAGAGCGCTCGACGGGATCTTCAGCAGAACCTTCAGGGGAATCTTCATCGGAAACTTCAGACGATCCTTCAGAATCTACTGCTGCGGATCTCGACCTGTCTTGCACCTCCCATTGCATAAGATCTAACGTAGGATGCCACATATCATCCTTATGCTGATCCTTATCCTCATCGGTATCCCTATCTCCATCACCGGGATGACCAACTGGTACTATATTTAGAACCCCATGCTCTTCGTCTCTTCCGTCATCTACACGAACGACACCTGATCGTTGGATCGGATGATCGGGATCCGGAGTATCTATAGGATGAACTGCGACTGAACTTGGATAAGCCCAATGAATCATTAAAACAGTCAGCACGGCAGGGACCCATATAAGTCGCCTCCTTAACCGTTTCAGATACATCTCGCTCGGTGATCTCAGCGACCGTAACATCGGCCAAAAAAATAAAATCTCTCTCTCTCTCTCTCTCTCTCTCTCTCTCTCTCTCTCTCTCTCTCTCTCTCTCTCTCTCTCTCTCTCTC